CTTGGTGTTATCTGCAATGGTGACGATGCTATCGGGAAGGCCATTCCAGTCCACAAAAGTGTCGGGTAGAAATGAATGCTGCTGGGCTGTAGATTTGGTCTTGGGTCGGGCAGTCTTGCATGTGTGGTCCAGTCTTGAAGAAACATAGTTGGGTGGGCTAAGGAGAGACTGATTTAAAGAGGGAGAGTAATACACTTTATGCAGGAGGGAAAGCCTGGAAATTTTGCGGCGAAGAGAAAGGTCAGGGAGGGTTAATTGAGATTTCATTTCAGTGACACTGGAAAAACGGGAGTAATCGGAGAGAATGAAACGAGCTGCGCGGTTTTGGACTGCTTCTATTGCATTGATGAGAAATGAAAGGTGGGGATGCCAGATAGATGAGGCGTATTCTAGTTTAGGGCGAACAAGAGTAATATAGAGAAGTCTTTTGAGGTTAGAAGGAGCAGTCTTGAAATTACGCCGAATATAACCAAGAGAGCGATTAGCTGAGTATATGATCTTATTAACACGATTATTCCAGGATAAATTATTAGTTAAATAAACACCAAGACATTTATATTCGGTAGTGGCCTGGAGGACAGTGTCATTTAGTGTTAATGCTGTTACGTGGGGGGAGGACGAGCGCGTGAAACATACATGCATGCATTTATTAATATTTAGGGACATTTGCCAAGTACGGCACCAGTCGGCAATTTTGTTAATGTCGTTTTGAAGGAGGAGGTGGTTGTCGGGAACTTTTATTAGTCTATAGATAACGCAATCATCTGCGAAAAGGCGAATTGAAGAAGAAAGTTGAAGTGGGAGGTCATTAATATAGATTAGAAAGAGTAAAGGGCCAAGTACAGAGCCTTGCGGCACGCCGGAGGAGACTGGAGCTAAGGAGGAAGGCGTGTCGTTAGCGAAAACAAATTGAGAACAGTAGCTAAGAAAAGATTCGATCCATTTTAGAACGAGAGGATCCAATTTTAAGGAAGAGAGTTTGAACAGAAGGGGATTGTGAGGGACCTTGTCAAAGGCCTTGGCGAAATCAAGGAAGACAGCATTAGTAGGAAAGCTGGAGTCGAGATTTTGAAAAAGATCGTTAGTAAGAAACAGCAGCTGGGTCTCACATGAAAGTTGCTTGCGGAAGCCGTGCGTTGCGTAGGTGAAGAAATTGCAGGAATTCAGGAAACTTATAAGATGCTTGTAGATGATGCGCTTGAGAATTTTGCAGGAAATGCAGGTAAGTGAGATTGGTCTGTAGTTGAGTGGAGACGTTTTACTTCCAGATTTGTGGACTGGAATGACCTTTCAAATTTTCCAATCGGAGGGTACCACACCAGTCTCCAGAGACTGCTGAAAAATTTTAGTAAGGAAAAGCGCTGATGAGATTTTCGTGTTGGTTAGAAGTTTGCTGTTGATAGCATCTATACCACATGAAGAGGACATTTTAAGGGATTCTATAATGCTTACTATACCGTCAAAGTCTACGAAAATAGGATCCATAGGGAAAACATTTGTTATTGGAACGAGGGGGGTCTGAACAATGGTTGTAGGTACAGTGAAAGCATCGGAAAATACAGTGTTAAGAATATTGGCACATTCGCTATTCAATATTTCATCACCAGAACTACTCACAAGCTTAATGTTTCGAGATGGTTTACCATTAACAATGCTCCAAAACTGACGAGGGTTATTTTGTAACATAGATGGTAGGGTGTGGTGTAAGAATGTGTGCTTACGCTCACGCAACAAACACTTGTATTCAGACGAGCAAGCGGCATGCTTAAGCCAGGCCTCCGGTATATTTAGTCGTTTAGCATTCCTAAACAGTCTTTTTTTTTTTTATTTGAAAGTCGGCGAAGGAACTTAGTAAACCATGGCTTAGAAGCATTCGATCGGACGTTTGTACATGGCACATAACGTTCGACAAGCTCGAGTAATTTGGCTTTATAGAAATTCCAGTTTTCATTGGCGTTGTAGTTATCAAAGTTCTCGTTAAAAGAGACGAAGAAATCCGAGAGCTGGCGATTAATCGTGTCGTAGTTGCCCCTGCGATACAAACGAATTTTTTTAGGAAAAAACACTGACTTCTGTGGCTTAATATCTATAAAACAGTGTAGCGCTTTGTGGTCACTAATGCCATCTACAGGAGACAGTAATCGTCCTTAACAGCGGTATACGAATCTTTACCATGCTCCATTGTTTCCGCAATTAAAGATGTACTGTTAAAAAAGTTACGCTTACTATATTTTGTTTTTAAGTAGAGATTCATTAATTGTTGAATTGAACATTTTGGTTTGGTGGCGCAAACAGCCCCCCCCCCCCCCCCCCCCCCCCCCGACTAAAAGGGTTTAGCCTTAACTACCCATCCATCGTCCGTCCGCTCCTCCTTTTTTTTTAGCGGGGGTAACATTTTTTGTCCATCTGACGGCTTTCCCACCTGTAGAGCGACACGCGGGCTTGACGTCACGGAGCTGCGGCAGCGCTGCGATCGCGCGGGGGACGGGTTCTGTGGCCAGAAGGGTACACGTTTCGGATGGCCGTCATAGCATTTCATGAGCATGCCGAAAAGCTGTGTAGCCGTTAATTGCCCCGAAAGGTACAGCAAAAGTTGCGGAGTGAGCTTGCACAAGTTCCCGTAGGACTCTGAAAGGCGCAGAAGGTGGGTAATATCCGCGGATCGAAAATGATGGTCTCCTCGAGCGAACGACCGTCTGTGCGAGAAGCACTTTCTTGGAGGCAAGTACGGCTTCCATTTCACTCTCCGTCCCGAGGCTTGTTTATGTGCAGGGAAAGCGTCGTCTGTTCGAGATTACCCAGATTTTCTTCCTACGGTGTTCGCACACAAAGCACCGGCCAAGCGCTCGTCAGTGGCTCGCTACGCCTGTGCTACCAAGCGGAAGGAGATCGGCAACGGAACGGACGAAGCGTTGCCGCTTGTCGTGCCTTGAGGTAGTGAAAGTAGGAAAAATATTACAGCTTTACTTGAAGACTCTGTATTTAATCATTTAATAAATACACTTCAGCTGACCCACAATCTCCTGATCCCGCCCGCAGTGCGGAAACTGGCTCGAAGTAATCGTAGGCCTCGAGAGGCTTTTACGCCTACACCGTGTCGTCCGTGAACTGGCTGGCGAAAAAACTAAATAAACGACGACGTGAGCAATCGACATCGGTGGCAGCAACTTCACGTCGGAACTCCAGCAGGCCTCGTTTACGGCGTACGGATCGCCTAAGACGCCGTCCACGCACAGTTTTTCTTGATACCGCTGCCGTTCAGGCTCGGATAGCGAGCTTAAATAGTCGGGCATAACATACGATATACGTTGCCAGTAAATACGACGCACAAATGAAGCTGGAAGCGTCTCTACAACGTCATCAGCGAGCGCACGCCACATAACGCAATGGCTAAAACACGGAGAGCCTGGCCGCTTCTGCCCACATAGCGTCTGCGCATGCGCGGCCTTCCGACCGTGTTGGTAAACAGAGCCGCGCCGCGTGTCGGTCTATACTTCATCTCACAAATGTCTGCAGCAAAGACAAATGTACATGCGCGTAAGCCTAGCTCAGGTAAACGCTTTTGTTTGTACGAGACCTCGTGCATACGACCATAGCCTCTATATTTCCAAAGGCTGGCAGTTCGACGACGGAGCCATAGAGTGCCCGGTCGCACATTTGGAACGCGAGGATCTGGTAGCACAAAGCATTTCTAGGGGAACCTGGACGGCAGCGCACATCTTTTGCAGCGGCGAGGACCCTAAACATGGTTTTCAAACCCGACGAGAAAAGAAGCGCGAGCGCGAGGAACGCGAGGAGCACGAGCGGACATTTCATCGCTCGGGAGAAGTATGTTTCGGCGTCTCGCCGCAGCGGGGCGCCCGTCACCTGGCTCTCCTGTCATTCGTTGTCTGCCGTTCTACATTTTCAATTTCGGCCGCTGCGTCTCGTCGCGACCTGCCAGGCTTTGTCAGTATAGAGGAGGCTATGATACGAGGCACTTTCGAAAGCCACGCGCTCGTGCCCATGCCTTTGCTTGCACTGCATATGTTTGCGAGGTAGAGTGCATAAGGAAGGTTATGTAACTTTATTGCGATCAAACGCCCTCCTACAAAAAAAAACAAAACAAGATGGCATTCTTTATGCTAAGTTCGATTAGTGGAAGGTGACAGCGTCGAGGCTGGTTCACATATTTGCGTCTGAGTGTGAACGATTGCGCTGCCACCACTCTTGTGTTCCCTCTAGACGAAGGAACGCTCTGGAAAAAATCTATCGCGTATCCTTGGAACAATTATATTGTAGTGAGTGCGCAGGCGAGCTGGTGGAAATTAACCATTCTGATGTTAGCCTGAGACTGAGGCAGGAAAAGAGGAAGTTTCAAAGTAGAAGAAAAAGGAACAGTCGAGGAAACGTCTTGGAACACTTCCGTTGGGTGTGTACCCGCGGTCGGAAGTGTTCCAGGGCTCCCCTATAGGTGGCGCCAGTGTCCTAATGTGTCCTCATGTCGTGGACGGTTAAAAACGGTTGTAAGGCATCGATCACGCTCAAAAGCAAATGCGTGAACTAATCTTTAGAAACAGCATAAACGAGATGACTTAGCGTTTTAGCGCCGCTTGACGGGTCGCGTCTGCGCATTGTGTTGGTGCCTACTGCCAGATTACAGCTGCCATTGCTAATCTTCTCTCGTCTTACGGAGATATTCAGCCACTGAAACTGGCGTTGACAATCCTCCTCAAAGACCAATGCCTGGGGAGAAGGACACAATAAAATAAAAAACTGCCATAACCTGGTCTGATATGGTATTGATGAGGTGAAGAAAACGGAACAATTCGAAACAATAATTCAAGGTCCGTTAAGGCGGCGCCCATGCACAGATGCTTAAATGCGTGTATAGTATTGGTTCTGAAACACGTTTGCCTCATATAAAAAGATTAGCCCTAATCCGAGTGTTTTCTACGTAAACTTCAATGTAATGAACGTTCATTGCTGCAAAATGAGCGGATATCTTTTTTCTTTTTTAGTTCCGTGCACGGACCCTGTTAGCGTCACGGCGATAGCCACTGGACCTCACGAGGTGACCGTCACCTGGAGGAGCGAAAGCTTTGTGGAATACTTTGAGGTAAGTTGTGGCACTAGTTTTTTTTTTTTTTTTTGTATACCTAATTAGCCTTATCCACGGGTTGGGCAAACTAGGGCAGTATTAAATTTAGTAGCGCGTCTACGTAGTCGCGAGATAAACGAAGAATCGGCGACTAAGGAGCGACAAGGCCCGGCAGTATTCGCGAGGGCGACGCAAGCGGGTATTTACCTTGTCAGGAGTGTTATGCTCCATTATCCCTGACGGTCAGCGGTGATAGGAGTCGGCAATAGCGAGTTTTCGTAGACCGTTTTCGCCGTCCCGCAACGCTCTCCGCAACCCGCTACGATACCCGAAACTCTACAGTCAAGGCCATGGGCGCGCAGGCGAGGTAGCGGCGTCTTCGTTGCGGAGGGCTTAAAGGCCGCTGTACAAACGGGACGTTCTGCAGGGAAGAACCTTCTCTCCCGAAGCTGGAGACGGGGAGGGAAAGGGCCAGCGTTGGGTGGAAAGGGTGTCTAGAGAATGGGATTAGCCTCGGGGCGAGCCATCCTCTCGAGAGGGAGTGGGGACGGAACAAAGCTGCCGTGGGTAGGGAGCCTTCATGTGCGCTTTGCTGGGGGTTCCGGCTACCAGGTGGAAGATAAGCTTGTCAAACGGCGACCTCGGATGCGAGGACGGGCACGTCAGAGAATTTGAAAATAGCTGCTTGATTAGCCGGAGGACCCAGTGCGGTCTACTGGCTCTAGAAGGTGACTCAGATGAAGAAACTCGTTTTGCTCCAAAACTCTAAAAGCATTCTGGAACGTGAACTCTTGACACAAATAAAAATAACACATGCATGAAAAACTACGAAGGCACCTAAGCTTTCTCCTATGATGTGAGAATGCGTGAGCATTACAGGCAGAGTTATGTTGGCGCAACTTGCAATAAAGAAAGAAAAAAAAAAAGTTATGTTGGCGCAACTAGGCGCAACGAATAGCGCGCTAGTTTCACGATCAAGAGGGCCTAGCTTCGAAACCGGGCAGGGGATGGTTTTTTTCTCGTGTTCTTTTTTTATTTCGCTTATTTTTTTTTTTGTTCGGTCACGTGACAATAAAAATCACATGAACAGAAATTTTTTTGGTACGTCACCAGAGGGTTTTTTTTTTTCTTATTTCTCCTATTCTTCTGTCTTTCTTTTTTTTTTTTTTCCTTTTTTTCGGTTTACGCTCCCTTTTGCAAAACTCTTTGCACCAATTTCGCGTTACTTTGGCGTCAGCCAAATAATTTTATTTATGGAAGGGAATTCTGCCGTACGTATCTTATGTTACTATAACCAACCCTGGCTTGCAATACGCATAGAGAATTTCGTCCGGCAACCAGTTTGGGAATGACGAGGCCAAATTTGTGTTATAATTTTTTTTGAGGTATAAGCATAATTTCGGCCTCGTTATCCGTCGGTCTCTAAGATTGGCTCGTCAAGTATCTTTTCGGAAAGAGTAGACGACTGGCATTTTTACAGTGCACGTGTGTCGACCAGAGTGAACATTGCTGAAGCGCCTCCAGTGTGATTTTGGCCATAAATAACTGGAGGCCCCGGGCAAACCCACCCTATGTAGAAAAGTATCTACCTTTCTGGTTTCATAGAGAGCTATGAAAGGGACGAATCCCAGCCGAGTCAAACTACCGGCTTGCAAACGCAATCGTGTTGGCAATAGCTCTAAGGAGTTTGTATGACTCTCTCTGGCGGTGTGCAGAGCGTAAAGGTACGGAGGTAATATATACTTTCGCCTAGTCACCTCGCAAACGGTTGGGTATTGGCTACAGAGATCCATTTCGCTTTGTTTTATCACCGGGATTATAGCTTGATTTCTGTGTTCTTAATTTCACAGACAGAACGAAATCGCTTTTCTCGTGTGGTGTCACGGCGGGAAGACAGAAATCAATCAGAGTACCGAAATTCGACGCTTGTGCTCGTTCTATAGCGCTTCTAAAAACCGTGCGATCACGGCTGTGCAACGTCAACAATGCATAAACTGCAGTTACTTGTGCACGTATTGCATCGTGAGGGAACGACTATGACTGGGTAAACAGGAATAGGGAGAATGGCTGCGTGTGATTTGTTGAAGTTCGAATCAACAAATCAAGCTTCAACGAATGCGATAGTATTGCATTCACTCAACCAGCTATATGAGTTTTCAGACGGTATATACCTTCCAAGTATGCGATTCGTGTTCTGCCAGTGGTATTTCAGCTAAATTAAAAAGCAAAATCCACGTTGAAAAAAAAAAAAGTTTACGGTGACTCCAGCCGCTTCCGCGCAGAATCATGTTTCACGTAAGCGTAATCTTGGGGTCGATGCACGACGAGGGGTCTTCAATCATAAAAATAGTTTGATTACGATTATTGGCAACGCTAAAAATTTGAAAGCCAAGCAGTAAAGACAACGGTGTTCTTATAAATATTATATACATTTCATCTTACACTGTTTGAATACGCTGCCGTCGTTATGTTCTTGAATTATTGGCTAGCTTGTGGCGGACAGGGAAGTCTTGCAGGACCATATTATAGGACCTACACTAAACCTGCCGCGCTGCGAAAAATGTTAGTCCAGTGCATAGAAGCTTGTTCAAGGCGGACGGAGCGTTGCGCATTCGGCAAAGCGCATTCAATCGCTGCCCGCGGCGTTTTTTATTTTATTTTTTTTTTTCGAGCAGCGAAATACTTTTTGGTCAAGCAGCAGGCCCCCTCTTCGGCGGGTTAGGCCGGATTAACGGAGGCGTCTCCTAATCCATTCTCCGTGTTGTCCCCTCGGGGAAGGGCGGTAAACAGGGGGGGGGGGGGGGGGGGGGGGGCGGGCGGGCGGTGAAGGAAGGAAAGGAGGGCAGGGGAAGAGGAAACGCAGAAAAAGTGGAAAGCGCGAACTGTACGGCGGCCTTTAAAGGGGCCCTGTAATCATATTTAAGCGTCTACCTTTTTTTGCAGTTTTCACGTCTCTTGGGGTTCAGGCAAGCCAGCGGGCACGGAGAAAATAACTAAATATCAGTGCATCATGTTTTAACCGGATGACGCAGAAACCTCCTCCACCGACGGGGGCGACCCGCGGTACCGAAAGCGCGCGAAATGTGACGTCTTTGGTCCTGGGCTTACTACTGGTGAGAGCCGCTAAAAGCTTCTTTTTAATCGAAATACAAAATATAAGTGACGCGAACCGTTTCAATTATTTAGAAAAGTAGTTTTTGTTCAGTATTTTAGATCAGAAAAGAAACAGATGCAGTTTATAAAGTACGGAAACAAGAAATGACCCGTCGACATACCCGCCACCAAGCGGTGGAAAAGGCGGCGCATACTAAAAAGGAGTAGTGCAGGGGATGGCATGACGTCCCGAGCCTAGCCTCCGCAAGGCAACATAGAGATCGTACATACTAACTCTAGAGGAAAAGGTCCGCCATTTTCCCATGCATTCTGGCTGTCGCAAGCGGCGGAGCATGCGGGCAGACCCTCGCAGTCCCACACATTGTTACCAACTGCCTTCGATTTCACGAATATAATTATATCATCAGAGCAGTTTCATGAAGTTCAACAATCCGCGAACTTACCGGTGGAAAGATATTCGCGTTCCTTTCGAAGTTTTCTTTTTGCATAGCGCGCAGATGTGCGGCCTCGCATCAACGCTAAACTAAACGAGATAACTGTCCTCACGGGCGGGGCGCGAGTGGGTGCGCCCACACTCTAAGGAAAAATGGAGGAAAAAAAGTAGCAACGGCGCTTCTTCCTTCCTCCTACTGACGCGCCCCCAAGCGGACACGAGAAAAGGGGAGGAACGAAACGTTTTTCTCCTTCTCCAGGCAGACGAGAGAAAACTTTCGCCCTCCCGACTCCTATTCTTTCGGTTTCGTTTTTCGAGCAGGTCGCGCACGTTGTTTAATAAATAGCTGTTGAGTTCATTGAGCTTCAGCGGCAGCGAAGGCCGCCTGTAATTCCGTCTTCTAGTCTAAACGTGCACAACATTTCGGTTGCATTGACGTTTTTCTCACTGATTTTATCAAACGAGCAAACGAAGCCGCTAGAAACAGCGAAGTTCCGGAGCAGTGCCAACAGCGCCACGTACACTGGGGAATGGCCGTCTCCGGATTGCGGGACTCGCGCGGTACGTAACTACAGTAGCGAAACCACGCGGAACTGTGTCGACGTTTTCGACGTTATGGAAACCGCAGGAACTGCGTCCAAGACAGGCAGGTTTCGCTGCCGGCTGCCTGGGTGCCTTCCGTGCTGAGTTCGGTTCTGTTTTCCGATGCCGAGTGCAACCGGCGTTCAACGTGGTTCTGTGTTTGTGCGTGTCAGCAACATAGCTGCAACGTCGTGATGGCAGTGTTGTGGGTTGCGAAACAGAAGACGAATTATCGCCGATGTGACCGCGTGTTCGCGTATCAGTGGTGTAACAAGATGAGATCGTAAACTGTTGGGCATTGATGCCGCTGGTCGGGCCGTGATTGGAGGGGGCGGGGTGTCGCAGGTTGACATTTCGCTTCACATTAAAAAGTTTAATACCACTTGAGGGATTACGTGCAATCGATCAACGTGCGGATAGTCATGTTGGAACGCTGGTCTGAACGGTAGAAGCTCCTATCGTACAGTGGCCAATGTGACTGTCGGAATTGACTCGTCCCCGAGAGCGATTGCGCTCTGGGGCAAGGACTGAACAGTGCGAAATCGTGACGGAAAGTACATATATTTACAGTATGGAATTTCGGCATTAAAAACAATTGTAGGTAAAATCGAAAAAAAAGCTACCCTTTACTGCCCTCCAAGTTGCGCGCTACCAACTGCCCTCCAAGTTGCGCGCTACCAACTGCCCTCCAAGTTGCGCGCTGGGATGAGCGCTAGAAGTTTTCGGGCTCGCCACGGCGTAGCTCCGTACACTTAACACCTGCCACAAGTCGCGGCTTTGACTGCATTCAAGTTGATCGAAAAGCGATTTCTCAGTCCGTGAAGCATCACTTCCAGCTGAGTGAATATCCGCTCTACAGAGATTAATTCAAGACGGCAATTCCAGCTTT